ATTCCTGTAGCATACAAGCACTAATATCTAAAGTGTACAACATGTTGAAATGACAACCAAAACACACAATAAATAAAGTAGAAAAGTAAAGAGGGCACAATCAATTTACCCTGGTTTGTTCTCAATTACTGAGAACTATGTCCAGCGTTCAAATAGAGCAGTTTTATTGAGTTTCAGAATCTGTAGAATACAATGATGAAAAAGTATCAAACGCTTACTCTTTCTCTCTATTTTTCTCACACTAGGGTTTTTCCACTATTACAATATGCATATAATAGTAACCCTAACCCCATTTGGGTTGATCGAATCTAACCCAACCCAGGCCCAAATATTTACAAATCAATTCTAAACCCAATTACTAATTGGGCTTACCATCAAGGGAGTGCCACCCCCTCAACCCCACTCACTTACCGGCAAGTGAGACCCTCGAATGCATCAATGTAAGCCGATAATCCGCTAAGCCCGGGCAAAATATGAATTATATCCAACACAATACACAAACTTTTAGATAACTTTTCCACATAATTTCTTCATACTAGCCTTGTTAGCATCTCTAGCAAATTGATTCTGCATTTTTAAGGAAAAAATAGAAATTGTCACATAATGGAATGATTTGGTTTTAAATAACCACCAATAAATGAAGAAAAACACAGAGCATTGAGAGAAAGTATTATATAACTAACCTTTTGAGTCCAATGACCAATTTTTGTGGTGGTGTCATCCAAAATCAATGTAACAATGACTTGTCATTAAAATAGCTTCTTTTTTCTCTCCTCTGCGTATAGAATGTAGCATATCTTAATTAAAAAATAGCACCTACACACTAACATCAGATAATTATTTTTTGAGAAGTGGGGCTATGACCTTTAAGATATATTGACACAGATTATATAGCATATTTCAAGGTTATCAATAACAATTTATTTTGGAAGCTCACCAAGCAAATGTGGAAACTAGACATTGAGCACTTGAGCAATTTGATATGTGCGGCAGGCACACAATTTGAGTCCTTTACAGAAAATTCTCAGCATATTTAGCCTTAGTAGCAAATCAATTCTGCATATGAGGAAACACACTATCACCAGTCAAATATCTGCTATATGTTTTTTTATTGAATATAAATAAATGAAGAATTGAGGGAGAATTACCATGCATAACTAATTACTTCGGTCTTTGGGGTAGATAGAAAATTTGATTCCTTTGTATGTAGTAACTTCCTGGAACCGTTCTCCAAGATACAGAAGTTAGAAAAATGTTCTGGTGTAACTGCTTCTGAGTAGTCTGAAAATCTTCTGTCCTTAATTGTTCAACCTGGTAGAAACTAAGGCTGTTATTTCCTATTCTCGACCAATGCATCCTTTATTGACCACCGAATGCTAGAAGAACACCCAGACATGAAAATATATTATTTACGAGATTACAAATGGAATTAATGATTTAATTGATCATAAGGAACCTTTCACTTGTCAAAAGTTCTTTAAGCAACCTTGTCTAAGAATACATTGTACTTGCTTAGGACATTAATTACCTATTTGGAATTAGAATTCTGTTTCTAAAAAAAGAATATATATATGTAAAAGGATGTAGAAATCTAGACCTGATGGAAAACTCACCAAGCAAATGTGAAAACCTGACATAGAGAACTTGTTTCATCAGCCACATTTTCTCTTTCGTACAAGGTCCTAAATGAAGTTTCTACCATTGATAAGTTGGTGCTTGACAACTGCTTTGACCTTAAGCATCTCCTCTAGCTAATCATTGACAGAATTTTGAAATAGAACCGGTCACAAAATTGAATGATTTGCTTTCAAATTAAAAATCAATAAATAGAAAGCACTGCCAAAGTGGAGTTGTGAACATTAAGAAGTACTGGCAGAAGTTATATAGGATAATTTGAGATTGATTGCTCCCTGTCAATTTTGTCCCCTGTGATACAAAAGTTCTGCGGATGGAAATTAATGACTATTTTAATAACCTAAAAGAGAATAAAATATTTTAGTATATGGTGACATTTGATGGAGAAAGTTTATGCAAAAAGAACCTCATTTTGCCATGTTCCTGTTACACATCATCTTCTGACCTTAAATTTCTTTAAACTGCGAGAAAGATTAACTTGCTTCACTGCAATAAAATCAATGTATTCAAATAATCAAGTTTCCAGAAATCAAACTATAGCTTGTCAGTTGTTACATACCACCAGTTTCTTTGATTACATTTTGCTGTCTGACATGCTCATGCCTATTATGATGCTGGACCTGTCACCACAATGCATCATTGGCTGACAGCTTAATACTAAAAGCACACTGTGACATGACATAGAAACTATTACATAGGATTAAAGATATTCTGTATGTGAAGCATAAATCCTTTCCCCAATCACAAGTTCTTTTCAGCGACATTGGTATAAAAAATGATATATACTCATAAGATAGTTCCTATTGTCAGTAGCAAATTATTTTCAAGAAAGATACAAAACATTAAGGAAATGCTAATGTAAATTTGAGGAAGCCCGCCAAGCAAATGTGAAACCTAGACATTGAGTTCTTGAGTATTTTCTCTGCTGATCAGTAATAGAGTATATATTCTCAGCATAGTTAGCCTTAATAGCTAATCAACTGTGTGTGAAGAAACACGGGATAATCAGCCAAATATTCGTAATAGGATTTTTGATTAAACATAAACAAATGAAGAAAGAATAGAGAGAAGTTACCAAGCATAACTAACCAATTTGATCTTTGGGGCAGAAACACAATATTGTTCCTTTCCAGCAACTTCAGGTGACCATTCTCCATTTCTGAATAAAGTCGTTTAGAATGGCTCCTTGTTCCTCTGGTTGGGCGCATAATCACCATCCCCTCTATTTTAATGAAAAAAAACTGCAGTGAGACAAGTATTTGTTTTGGAACTGAAGTTGAAACTTTGAATATAAAGTTCCATGCCTCAATATTGACAATAGCACTTAAAACACGGAGAATCTTCTCCAGCATGATAAGAGCTCATGTCGTATTTCATCTTATAATCTTTTGATTTCTTCAAGAAATATTTATGATACATTAAACTTGCTCACTGCATCAAAACTAAAACATGGAGATTAAGTTTTCTCAATAAGAAATAAAAGCCCTTTCCAATATCCATATAAGCATAAGAAAACCTCAATGAGTCATAAAAGGATCTGACAGAGCCAATTTAAGAAAAATGAAGAAGCTCCCTAACATGCTGCATAATCGATTCAACATTTCAAAGCGTCAAGTTCATTAAGGGAAAACTTCTTGGATGTAACTGCGTTTACATAGGCTGAAAATCTTTTTCAACCTTAATTGTTCCAACTGATAGAAAACTAAGATTGTTATTTTGTGATGATTGCCAAACTTCTAAAGGACATAATCAAAGATAAAATGGTGACCTTATGCGGAAAATCAAAACAGACTTCACAAAGGTAACAAAAATGAAAGATGTTATTGTAAGTCCTCCTCTCTTCTCCCGTTGTTCACATTCTGCTATTCTCTGTCATGTACATCAAAGAGCATTATAGCCACTTCGAAAATTAAATTCCTTTGCCTATTGGAAAAACTCTAACCTGTAACATTGACTCATGATTATTAGCATTGACATCTGGATTCTAGAGTAATGCAAAATAGGGATAAATCATAGACTATATCAAACTCTGTTGGTCAATATATTACCCGGATTTATTTTTTTTCTTTTTATATATCAAAAGCAGAGAAGATTTCTGTAGATAATCATTGTATGCCTATACAAAGGGAAACATAAATTCAATATTATACCTAAAGAACTTCAATTTTGAATCTATATATCAAAAGTTTGCAATAATAAACAACTGTTGCTCATCTGAGACAAAAACATCATATACAATTTGACTCAAAACAGAGAGCTTAAGAAGAGAACCAACCAAATTGTAGAGTAAATCCTCTTCTCTTTTCCAGCCAAGTTACATCCAGCTATTCTCTCTTGCAAGAAACAAAGCATTAAAACCAGTACTTTGACAACTAAATTTATGTACCTCTGAAATGGACAGTACTCATTATCAAACAATTTACTTTTCAAGAAACAGAAAAAAACAAATAGAAAATAGAAATATAGATCCCAGGGAAGCTCACCAAAAAAATGTGAAAACCTTTCATTGAGCACTTGTTATCAGGCACATTTTCTCTTATTTGCAGAGTCTCATTGAGGTTTCCCCTTTTGACAGATATAAATTACTCTCCTTCACAGCTTTGGCTTTAAGTATTTTCTGTGTGATTGATAACAAGATTTAAATTCTCAGCATAGCAAGCATGAGTAGCGGCAAATTCAGAAACTCAACATAATCAGTCAAACAGTTATGTTCACTACTTATGCGACATGGAATTTCGCCAACTTAGGATAGCTAGAGTTGCTGCTGCAGTTGATAACCTTTTTCAATTGAACATAAAGTAATGAAGAAATAATAAAGAGCAGTGATCAAATATAACTAACCAATTTGATCTTCAGAGTAAATACCCCACTGGAATCCTTTCCAGGAACTTCCTTGCGCCATTCTTTCATGGTTCAACGTTTAGTTCAAAAAGGCTAAGAGACCAAATATCTGATGATAGTTAACTTTCAATGGAAAATGAAAGGTAACTGCTTTTGACTAGTCTGAAAATCTTTTCCAATTTCAATTGTTCAACCTGATAGAAAAACAAGGTCGTTGTTTTGTTATGACTGCTTCCCAAAGACCGTATTTCCAAACAAATAAAAACTTGTAGCTAAAAATTTAGCTGGGGAATTAATTGTAACCCAACAACTTAATATACTTAACAAGTAATAAGTCAAATAAATAATAACAATAAGACCAAAATTTAAAGACTAATAGTTCTAGGGTGGCTTAGAGACAATAATATAACATATAACCTGATTAAGAAATGTATCTAGTTCTGAGATTACAAAGAACAACTATCAAAAACGGAAGCAATTACCTGTGGCCTTTGGGTTGAACGTAATTGCAGCTGTTTGGGAATTCATTGATCAGGGTCTCCTTGCACATGTTGACCATCAATTTTGATGGTAGAAATTTGAGTGATCTCGGGCCACTGCTCTTTCATTCTTTTTTTGAAATATTGTCTTAAAACAGGACATTCATAAAACTCCAATTTCTTCAATGTTGTCCTCTGGAGAATGTCGTCTGGCAGTGCTTTTAATTTGCGACAGAAATTGATTTCCAATGAGGCAAGACATGGCATGAATTGAGGACATTCTTTTTCTTCTCCCTCCCTTATAATCTTATAATCCCACTCTTCCCATTCTTCCATATCCGAAAATTTGAGATATTTCAATCTGGGGAAGAGAATAGTTGATGACGATAAAAAAGATCTGCCATCACTTTCTATTCCCCAAAATTTATCATCCACATTTTTCACACTAGAAATTTTACTTATCCTTAGAGATGCAAGAGAGGGTAATATTCCAAAAGAAGACAAATGCTTACAATTTATGCAGTCATTGAGACTTAACTCTCTCAACCTGGTTAATGACATTATCCAATTAGAGAGAAAAGTGCTCCCTCTATATGATTGTATATCAAGTTTCTCCAAATTTAAGGGCGGTTGTAAGGCCTTGAGAATTGATTTATCATTATAATGTATCTCTTCTATATCCCCGTCGAAGATTACCCCTAAACCAGAGAGGTTTTTCTTATTTTTAAGTTCCATTTTCAAAACCTCGCTCACATTTTTCACATTTCCTAACCCTCTTAAGACAAGTTTCCCTCGAAGACGGTTCAAATCTTTTAAACTTTCAAGATTACACGCTTTGTTACCATGAGTACCATTACCAGCACCACTTACAATGAATTCACTTAATGTTCGGAGATGTGTTAATCTCCCAATCCCTATTGGCATGTAACTTAATGAATCAGTATTATCATTTGTTAAATGCCTCAAGTTTATTAACCTTCCCATTGCTTGAGGTAATTCTTTAAGTTCTTCACACCGAGAAATGTCTAAACTTTGTAGATTATATAACTCACACAAAGTTTCGGGTAGCTTTTTTATATTTTGCCCAGATAAATCACGATATCTTAATTGTATGAGTTTTCCTATTTCTGTTGGAATCTCTTTAATAAAATCACCAAATGCATCAAACTTCAATGCCCTTATACGATCCAAGCTACCAAACAACTGTGGTAGAATATCATTGTCTAAAGGGTAGTCATCATCTTCACAACTAATGAAGAGACTGCGCAACCTTTCGACATCCCAATTAGAGACCGAAAATGAACTTCTTTTCTTAAGCATTAACATTGAATGATAAACTTTGTCATGGGAAGAGTTTTTGAATGGCTCTTCGACACTATCATTAATTTCTATAGTTATACACTCTTTCCGTTTCAGAAATTTGGCAAAGTCATGCATTAAACCATGAATCTTACAACTTATAATATTATCATTATCATCTTTTTCAATATCTAAGAAGGATCGACTTACTAAGTAGTTAAAATACCTTTGACCTAGTATTTCCATCTCTATATTTGGTTCTAACCCAAGATAACCTTGAGCCATCCATAATTTAATCAATTCATCTTTATTCATCCTATAACCCTTAGGAAAGATAGCAAGGTATATGAAACACAATCTTATCATAGAGGGCAAATCATAAAAACTCAAAAAAAAAGCTGGCGGAAAACCTACCTTTGACTCTTCTCGTTTCCAAACTTCTTTGTCTAACATAAACTCCCACTCCTGACTAGTTTTAAAGCGTAATAGACTGCCCATGACCTGTATGGCCAAAGGCGAGCCTTGGCACTTCCCTATAATTTCTTTACCAATTTTTTCTAAGCGTCCACGCTCCTCAGTTAATCTTTCAGATAACGCTCGTTTTTCAAACAATGACCAATTTTCCTCCTCAGATAATTCATTTAACGTTATAATATCATCTGACATCATCCTAAAAGCAACTGACTTCTCATCACTTGTGGTAATTAAAATTTTACTTCCATCAAGACCACCATATTTTAGAGAATCAAATGATCCCAATCGATAGTAATCTTCTATCCTCATATCATTTAAGACAAGAAAAAATTTCTTATCTTTTATATGTTCATTAATTGTTTTATTAAAAACATCATATCCTACTGAAATAGGCTTGCCTTCTGAAACTTCACTTTTAATGCTACACTTTTCTTCAGAGCCCAATATGTTTACCCATATTCTTGCACTGAAATTGTTAATCACCTCATTATTATTGCAAGCATCTCCAATTTTTCCTTTCTCTTCCATACCCACAACTAAGATCACACTAGTACCCTCACCCAATAACTTGCTAACTAAAATATCTTCTTTTTTATTTTGACCATGTATCTCACTTAGATCAAATGAGGAGGTAATCTGTATTTGCTTTTCAGTACTCTCACTCTCCTTAAGATTAAATTTACCCTTCTCTTTGACAATATCATCTAGTTTTCCACTTAACTTTTTTATCATAACAGCACTTTGACGGCATAAAGCAACTGCTGTAAAGAAAATGTGAGGAGCAAGAAAGAAGAAACATACCTTCTTTTTAAACAGAGGATTTTCAGCCCCCACAATTTGCAGTTTCAGAAATGAAGTGCTGTACTCATCAAAGTCGTCATTTATATCATAGCATATGTCTTTGAGCTTATTTAACCAATCTCTCACATTCGGTTCCTCCATTTCTTGTGCCTGAGCATCCGGCAGAACAGCTAGAATTTCTTTAAAGTTTTTGGCAATCTTTTCTACTTCTTTGCTGACACCCGCTGCACGCAACACCTTTCTGTGTGTGTCTTGAACAAAGATTAATGAAGAAAATCGCTTCCACACATAGGGAACAATTTCATAAGCCATAATAAAAGGTGATAATTGAATGAAGAAAAGGAAGAAATTTTGATTTATCAGATGGATGGTGTTTATGCTGTGAAAATACTACCCATCCATCTTCTCTCTTTTTATACTGCGTGACATGGAAAGCCATAGAATATTTCACCAAATGGGCAAAGTGAAGCCTTGCTCGGTGGTTTAGGTATATAGCTTTCCCCATCTATTAACTAATTTTCAAAATCATTCCTCTCTGTATATGGCCTTTAGTTTCCTAAAACAAGAATATGATGCAAGAGTGGAAAGCAAGTAAACGAAATAAAAAGAAAAGAAGATCCCCAATAGCAAAAGCAAAAGCAAAATCTAAGGCAACGATCTGATTAATTTCTCTCTTGATATAATATTTTATCCGAGGAAATATAAGAATTAATTCTAAGCAAAAGTAAAATTTGATGATTTACACTTTTGATTTCTTATGAGTTTTTATACCAAAATAATTAATTATTTCTATTTTGATACGACTCCTAAGACGAATTGTTTCAAGTCTAAATATATTGTATTAATGAGTTTCACTAAGTCATGTTCCAATATTGGATTGAGTAAATACGACAAGTGAAATATTAAGGGTGCTTTAAACAAAAATGAAGGAAAGAAGGAAAGAAATCTCGACAGAATTGATGTTTCACTAAGTTATTTTTTTTTCGTTTAATTTGCAGATTGAATTTACTTGGATTGCTAGCTAATACTGAAAATTTATGATTCTATTACTGCCATTGATCACCATAAAAACTGCTCCAGGCCAAAGCAATGAAGGAACAATTGATATTGGTCAATGGCAGAAAGTTAATTCATGTTCTTGAAACAGACGGTAACTTTTGTTGATGAAAAAAGTTCTCAGTCAATGTCTGATTTGTCATTGAATTGCCCGGTGTGGTTCCTTGTATTTATAATTTAAAATTAAAATACTAAGCAATTTTCCAGTAAATATACACCTTTGTTCCTGAACGTGATTGCTGATTATGATTTTGACATGTTATTGTTTATACAAACAATAGAGTAAACGATATATTGCCACCCAAGGTTCAGCGAAATCTCCCAAGTTGATACCCTAGTTTCATTTATTCCAGATTCTTATCTTTAAACTAATACCGTTAGTGACTGCTGGAGGTGGCCGAACACGATGAGTGAGGTCGGCAAATGAAAGTATGAGTTTTATAGAGGAGGTTGTGGGGAGTCCAATGATAATCTTGGAAGTAATTTTGGACTTCAAAATTGGTCTAGAAAAGCCAAAAAACCGCCGGCTTGGATACTATCAACGTGAACCCTTTTTTGTTAACGTGAGCTCGTTTTCTGTCAAAGATAGCTTTGACGCATTTTAGGGTGCTAACGTACACCACTCTTCAGTAAAAAATTAAGAATCTATTAAAATAAAGGAAACGATATTCTCTTAAAGGTGAAAATCTGGAATAAATACAATTAAAGGTATGCTAAACCTCGAGTGAGAATATATCGTTTGCTCCAAACAATTACATTAATTGTTATTGACAGAGATTTTGAACCTGTCACATGACAGTTTTCGCAAGCTTCAGTTTACTTTTACTGGCCTAAATGGAGGAGCATCAAGTTAAGTTGGGAAGCTATTCTGATATTGGAAGCTGATCACTGCAGACCTCTCGCTGTATTAAACAAAAGCTCGAATTGGACTGCTTCGAATTCTTCGATTTATTTTTTTCAAAGATGTCTTTATGTTATTTTTTTTCCCCTTTCATCTATCGCATAATTAATCTGATTGATAGTTATAAAATTAAATGCATATATAATGATGTGCATGTATATCAGCTTGTGATATGTTGATGTAATACGACTGTGGTATTATAAACTTTCTCAATAGTGGACTTTGTTCTTTATTAAGACATAAATGTACAAAATAGTAAAAATGATCAAACCAAATGCTCAGTGCATAACGTACAACCAAGAAGGCACAAGAAACACTTATTACTGAATAATTCATCTAGGAATGAGGAGTCCCGGCTGTTAATGTAGTCCTTCTGAATTTGATATTGATCACTTAAGCCAAGATGTGCCATAAGGAGGCAAACATGAGTGAGAAGTTCTCCTCCTTTTCTAAGCTGTTGACCATGTTCTTTCCATTGGCAACGGCTTGCATTATATGTCAACATTTCCACCCACACTTGACTAATCATCTCCCATACTTCATCTTGTCTTTCCAACGATTTCAATTGCTTAGCAAGCTTACATCCATAAAATAGCACAGATTGACTTCTGTTGCCTTTTATTTTTTCCATTGGGACATTAGTATTCACCTCGAGCAATTTCTTGTAAGCTTCATTATTTTCTTTGGATATCACCATTCTTCTTTGTTTGAAAAATCTCCGAGCCTCAGCACACGTATCTCTATACCTTATCTCACCAATACCTTTGGGCAACATAGATGGACATAAAACTAGAAGATACAACATGTAATCTGACAACCATTTGCTTATCTGATAGACCTCTTTATTTCTGTCAAAACCTTCTGCTACATCATGGTAATAGAGATCAGTAGCAATATGCCAAAGAAGGAGGCTATGGTCGAATTCTACATCAGTTGTACACCACTGAAAGTCTTTAAGAAAGCCCTTTTTTTCAAGTACATAATCACCTCTCTGACCCATTAGTTGCTTGCACTTTTGTATGTCAAATTTATGGTGCTTAATTTGATTACCTTTCTCCCAAAGCTGCTTACAGATCGATTTCTGCAAACTAACATCAATGGTCTTCCAAGTTCTGTAGCAGTACTTCTCTAATGTTTCGTGGATGCCAAATAACTTCTGAATTGCGAGACATTTGGCTGGCTTCAAGCAAGTACTAATTAGGTTGTATTGTGCCATGGATCCTGACCACCTCTTACGTTTAGTTAAAAGTAACTCAAAAGGAGAAGTAACAAGACGAATGAGATTAGTGAGTGGATTTGCGTTCTTGATCAACCAAAGCTTTGTCCAGTCAGAGAAAATGAGTAGGATGAATCCGTAAACATCAATAACAAGAGCTCCAATTATCAAGAAGTAAGTTATAATAATGTCAACTGACGGGAGAGCATGCTTATCAATGATGAGAAAGAAGGCAACTAATACAGATATCGCAGAAAAGAAGCTGATGAACCTGAGAATTATTCCTGTCTTCGAACAAGCTATAGTCGCCTTGGTGTAGAGCACATCGTACATGAATCCAAGCTCATCTGCTATCTGCTTGAAGGCGTCTTCAGGTGACTTCTTGTGAATAATTTCGTAGCAATCGATTCGCTCATTAATTCCGAGGATAAGATCTGCAAAGAGATATTGGAACCTCTTGAAAAGGTAATGAGCTAAATACAGATAATCAATCCCAGGATCGATTATTTCTGGCTGCACAACCCTTGCTTCATCAAGTGAATCGGGCTCCACAATGGTGGATTCAAATGCTTCCACATAATTAGCGTAATCAGGTCCAGGATTAGGATCAGAGAGCAAGGATCTCTGAATTGCTTGGTGCTTGAAGATCTAAGAACCCAAGTCCTCTCTCCATACTTAATAATTCCAGTAATAAAAACTGGAATGGCAAGAAATGTGAAGGCATGGTTGCTCCAAGACCTGAAGAAGACATAAAACGCTACACCAACTTGGACAAGCATCCCAAGAAAATGTCTTAACCACAAGTAATTGTCTTCTAAAGAGTAAGCGGTGGTAGTGTCTGGGCCACCAAGGTGTAGAAGAAGGAACGGTGCCCAAAATGCTTGGAGCAGGTGGTTGGATTTGGAATAACTATTTTTAAAATCTCCACTGTTTTTGGCAAGGATGCCTAGGGCAACAGTTGCTACCCAATCTGCCGACATATATGCTAGCCAAACTAGGATCTGCATCCAGATTCTTGTGACATATTTTCGTCGTGAACCAAATATGACGAGAATGTATTGTAAAAGAAGGCTATTTAAAATCAACACTCGGATTTCCCACCCATTCCAAAGCTTATTGAATTCGTCTGAAAGATGCTGCATTTTGACCTCCTATATATATTTTCCTGAAAAATTAAAACGAGAAACTTAAATTAAAATACAGAAAATATGTGTATATATATATATACACACTGATGTTATTAAGAGAATATAATATTGATTTTTTTTCCAATTTAAATGGAAAAATCCATTTTGAACGTACTTGGACAAGTACATGCATGTACGTATACGTATTTGAATAAAACTAGACGTACTACTAAAGGTAATTTTATGATAGATGTAGGAATGTTGTTGTAATAAAATATGGCTGGCTTACCAGAAAAAATAAATGCACCCAATTAAGAAGTTCCAATTCAAATGCTGGTGGATTAATTGGGCTGTCTCTGATATTGTTGCCTGAAGAACCACTACGTGTCGCAACTCAAATTCTGAGGTCTGAGTTTGGAGCTAGACTCTCTAATGTTAGAAAAGCATGTGTTAAAGCTAATTGATAAGTAATACAATAGCTAGTGTAGATGGAACTGTGGAAAGAAGTATATTAAAGCTTAATTATGCCGAATTAAGCGGCTTTTTATTGCAAAAGCTAGGTTGGCGTTTGAGCAAGGAAAGAATTTAGTACCTGGATTAGTGATAAAGCAAAGCATTTGCGCAAAAACTATAATATACAGGTTGTAGTTATGTACAGAGATCTAGACTGTAATCGTCTCATTTTATCCGCAAGTCGTAATCCTTATGGATCCAATGTGTGTTTATTAATTAATATATAATCTCTGGCACGCATCTTTATTCTTTGATTGATATGTTTATTTTTTTTTTACCTCTCTCGCCAGAGGACAAAGAAATAAACTGGGGGAGGATAGAGATAGGTAGGACCTTCTGCTACTTAGCTTTTATAGCATCTTGAAACACGTGAACCTTAATGTTACTCTGTAGCTAAAGATCATTCCCCATCCCCCCACCTTTTTTTTTTTTTTTTTACTTTTCATGAACCTATAAAATCACAAACTTTAACTTTTTGTTAAAGTGAAACTTACATGTCAAAAGAAGATTCTGATTCTGGAAAATCACATGGGTTGCAGAGAATTACAGAATTCAAGATGTTCTGTATGATACCCACAACATAGTTTCTGCTTTTAACATATAGGTTCTGCAGACCATTTGAGAAGCTCAAGAAAAATAGCTGGTCCAAAAACTGGGGAGGATAAATTTAGATGCATAAAAAGAAATATAGTTTCCTCATCCTGTAATATCATTTAACAATTTTGACGGTACTTACATTTTTTTGAGAAACATGTTATGATCTGAAAAACACAAAAAATAAAAAATAAAATGTTCAAAATCATAATCAGCAATCATGTTCGGGAATAGAAGTGTATATTCCCAGGACAATCACCTAGTGTTTTTTTTTTTTTTTTCCTTGAAGTATAAATATGAGGAACAGCACCTAGCAATTCAATGACAAATCAGACATTGATTGTAAACTTGTTTCATTAACCACATTTACTTTCTGCTTCAAGAACATGAATGAACTTTCAGCAGTTGATCAATATCAGTTGTTCCTTCATTACTTTGGCTTATGATGATCAATGGCAGTAACAGAATTCCACTAAGACAAGAAATACCTTTTTAGGTTGAAATTGAGAAACGAAACTTACACTTTCATGTTTATCTGTTGGTGTCATTAGATACAACATTAGAGCAAAGAATTCCACTAAGACAAGAAATACATTTATGGTGCCTTAATGTTAGATAATCCTTTCTCTTCCAGCATTATAAAATCTACTGTCGATGGAATCTGATGTCTGGTACAGATTGAATAAAAGAGAATAAAATAACTTGACATGAGGTATCTTTTGATGGACAAACGGGTATGTGTTGCTTTTCTTTGTGGTCCCAAGTTTCTTGTACAAAAATAAAAACACAAAAGTTGGTTTTAACTTTTTTGTCCCCCAACTCTTGACGTATTGAACTCTATATATTCATGCTTTTCTGGCGTCTTCTTCATGAAATCTGATTACCATTTGCTTTCCTTTCTGAATACCTTTGAGGTATTCATTTTGGTTAAGGTTTCTTATTATGCTTTAGTAGACTTATAATTACTCTCTCCTCTTGTCCTTGTGCGATGTGTTTGCAACCTGATGAGTGCTTGTGTGTAAGTTGTTGTCCTGAAGATCTATCTTTGTTGTTGAAACTTGAGAGGAGTTCAATTTTAAGATGGTGATGTTGTGCATCGTGAAGCTTGCTGTAAGCACTTGAAGTTCAACCAAAAAAGATAGAGTTGTCGTGTGGAAAACAGGGAGTGTTTTCCTTTTTGAGGCAATTACCAATAATGATACGGGTACCCTTAGAAATTTAGTTCAAGACAACGAAGGAATTCTAGTACAAAGAATTGATTATCAGTTGAATACGTAGTTGAACCTTGCCTCAAGGTACAGGCGGGTCAAATTCGTTCATGATATCATTGAGTTTCATCCTGAAATGGTTGCATCTATATACAGGCGGGTCAAATTCGTTCATGATATATGAACAAGAAGCTCAAGGATCCATTTCATGAAAGTTTGTCATCAAGGATGTGGTAATGCCGTTCATAGAGACAAAGCTTACAAAAAGAGGGCATGTTGATGTGGTAATGCTCATCAATTTTTTTGTTGATTTCAATTGAGTGGCTTATGATGTAGAATTTGTTTAGAACACACTAGAGGTGGGGCCGGATTTTGCTCAAAAAACCAACAAGACTGGATTTTCTAGATTGCACTGTGCTTGTAGCAGAGGATACTCGGAGATAACAAGATTGTTTTTAAGGGTTGACCAAGACCTTGCTCTGCAATACAATGACAAAGGTTACGCCCCATTGCCAGGTACAAGACTGGATTATCACTAGTGTATCATGGTTATCATATTTTCCTTTAACAATCATGACAGTAGTCAAATCAAATGACTGATCTTGAAGTACAATGCCTATTAGTATTATCAATAACATCTAGTATGAAATAGAAATGTAGATCTCATGTCAGCTCACCAAGTTGAACCAGACATCAATTGAGCATTTGCTTCATCAGATGCGTTTTCCGTTATTTACAACTCATAAGGGATGCAACAGAGGATGTTACGGTAAAAGATAATTTTCTTTAAAGAACTTGTAACTCAACAATTAAAAAGGGAGTAAACAATCTTTTACAACGATGTTACACAATCCAAAGTATTCACAAATTATAAGTCAAATAAATTCTGACTGAGCACAAAATCAGAAACATTGTCACAGAAACCATTTATCGAAATCTCCCATGTTGAAATTAGAAACATTTTAACCCTTCAAAACGAAAACCAAACACATTTTTTCCCAGCAACCAAACACATTCCAATATTCCACTCTATCAAAGAGAAGTAAAATCCCATTAGACTAACAAAGCAAGTTGAGTTAGTTAAAATTTTGAGATTTATAAAGGATTTTGGGTTTCCAATTGAACGATTGGCAGAAAGGGGAGGGAAAAAAAGCTGTTTTGTTAGTATGTAGATCACATTTTTGCTTTGTAATTAAATCTCCTTTTACCTCGCTTTATTTATTATTATTATTATTTTTAACTTGTTGTTCCCTAATTGATAACTTTAACAAAAGTTTTTAAGTTATTCTTATCACCTAAGTGATAATTTAATATAAAAAAATTTATGTTATTCTTATCATCTAATCAATTAACAATATTTAAAGATTATTTTCTTCAAAATTTCAGGGAAAATGGAAGTTAATCATGTTTTATAATATCAAGAAATTAGTTTCGGATACTTTATATATATCGTGATACCAGTGTTCTAAATCTCTTTCATCTCATTTCACAAAAGTCCAAAAATACTTTAACAAAAGATGTACCAAAAATAAATAAATAAATAAATAAAATTCATCACAACTTGTAAATTACTTGATATTAGTGGCCAACAAGATAATCCAATTACTTAATTCAGTTGTAAGTAGAGGCACGTAATTAATGAATTTGGCTAAAGTTCATTCATATTCAATAAATAATACTGATTTTGGTTTTGAGAGTAGTTGTGCAAATATAAATTATTGTATATAATCTCAATTTGTATTGATTTATTTTGCACTAAATCTTGTATTATTCTAGTTTTAAAGCTGATAAAAAAAACTTGAGGTATGCATAAATCAAATTAATTTATAATTTTACCTAGCCTTATACATGCCCACCTTTGGTTTCTTTGAAATTAAGCATATAGAAGCAAAAAGATGTCTGACACTTGGACATATGGTGGGATTAATTAAATATGAACATATGGGTACATTGAGAAGTTGCTAAAGAATGCTGTTATATTTAGAATTCGGCTGAGTTAAATTGAAAAATATTGGTGGTGATTTGTGCATTGGAAATGGTGTTTGCATGAGTGGTGAGAGTTAGGTTGTTGAGAGAAAGATTAATTTGATGGAAAAGCATGAAATGTTTTCAAGAATTTCTTTTTATTTTGGAAGTTCCCATGCATCATTCATATTAGCCTTATTATATTTTTGGTTGTCTTAGCATTTTACAAGACTTGAATTGACTATTTTCTCTAAACATTCACAATGTAATGTGTTATATATTGTGAGAAGTATATGTATATGGTTACGTCTTATAGAAGCATCGATAGAATTAGTGCTTAAAAGAGGTGAAGTTAATAATATAAATAGGAGTTAGGTGCGGTTGGACATCACATTTGTAGATGTTGGGAAGTTTTACTTAAAAATGAAACATGTTGTTTTATTAGATTATATTGGCATGCACTCGGTTGGAATGTGTATAGTCATGTATTGGGAACTTGTTGCCTTGTCCCTTGTGTTGGAATGCTGAAATTGGGGGTGTAGGATAGTGTTTAACATGTGTTGTGGTTGGTTCTTGGAAAGGAGTTTGGGTTCGGTTTGATTGAGGTTGGAGAATGGAGATATGGGCTGGATATTAAATTATAATAAGATTCTAATTTAATTTGTGTTGAAGGGTTTAATGGAGTTGATGAGCTTAATTGAATTAGTGGACCAATTAGTATGGTGGGCTGGTCTAAATTAAAGTAGGCCCAGATTAAATTGGTTTGGGTTTTTTGTTATAATGGGCGGGCTTATTATTACTTTAAGGTCCAATTAATTGTTGGGCTGTTGGGTTTATTTAAATTGGTGGCTTCATTGAATAAAAAAGGCTAATTTGATATGGCGACCCATGGTATTCGAAAATCTGGTACAAGGATATAGATTATTGTGTTTGGCATGAGTTGAGACAATTATATACTCAGTTTTGGTGATAGTTGTATCGGTTTAGGTAAATTTGATATGGCAACCCATGGCATTTGAAAATCTGGTACAAGGATGTGGATTATTGTGTTTGACATGAATTGGTACGATTTAAGGTTTGACGGTATCCGAAATTATATTGGGTTATTGTTGCATCATTACATGAGCATTTATGGTGTTGTATGACAAGCAAACAGACTTTTCACATGCAGCTTTTTATGATAAAGCTATTTTCGTAAACAATATTTACTTATTCACTAGGTTTCCTAGCTCACTATTTTATGTTTTTTCCACAGGTTCACATCTTGAGTCCCTCAAAGCAACCCAGATCTGACAAGATAGAGAATAAGCGGGAGGGGGCATGACACAACTCATAAGGGATGCAACAAGATGTTGTAGTAAAAGATGATGTCAATTTTTTCAAAAACCTATAACTCAACAATTGAAAAGGAAGTATACAATCTTTTACAACAATGTTACACAATCCAAAGTATTCACAAACTGTAAGGCATATAAATTCTAATTGAGCACAAAATAAAAAACATTGTCACAGAAATCGTTTATCGAAATCTCCCATGTTGAAATTAAAAAACATTTTAACCTTCAAAACGAAAACCAAACACATTTGTCCCCATATTTTCCCAGCAACCAAACACATTCCAATATTCCACTCTCACAAGAGAAGTAAAATCCCATTAGACTAACACACCAAGTTGAGTTAGTTAAAATGAGTTTTATCTCACAATCAAACCAAAAGAACATAAAAGTTCAAAAGTTTCTATTCTCTTATCGCCAGTTTAACTACATTTACGAAGCAACAAACAAAAACGCATAAATAGGTTATGGTAGAATATTGTCATCCACTACGAATAAAAATGGAATCTCGAAGCGCCAATGGCATCTTTCTTTGTAGACTTCTCTTAAGGTTTCTCTTTTCATTTATGGTTCTTATAAAACCATTCATTTTCAAAGCAAGAAGTGAAAAAAGAAAGGTATATACTATTGCAGTTTTGACTGTAAAAGATCCTTCTCAAATCTGGATGAGAAAAGGATTTTCAAAAACAGCTCATAAACAATTCATGCCTAACTGTATGCCATTCCAAGATTGTCTTATTCACTTCCCACCGCCAGAAGTTTTTTTTCCTAACGAGCCTAGCCACCATTTCAGAAGATGGATAGCACCTGTTTTTCTTTCTATAGCTGTTATAGCTTCAACGTCTTTCCAATAGCTGGAGCTTTCTTTGCTAACAGGAAACTTGAAGCCTGCAAGAATTATGAATGTGTGAAGAAGAAGAGTTCCTGGAAAGAACCTAATTAATAACATGAAATATCATAAGGATACTTTCGTACACGCATATTACTTGAGGAATGTAGAAAGTTGACTATAAAGTAGAGTCAATCAAGTGTTGCAGGATTACAGCTCATCAATGGATTGATAGCAATAGTATATGTATGTAATAACTTCTTCAACATTACTTCACGCAAGACACTTAAGAAAAGGAAATGGATTCAAGGCTTTTTGAGGCAATTGCCAACAATTATAGAGTTGCCTTCGACAATTTAGTTCAAGACAATGAAGGAAATTCTGGAACAGGGAACTGATTATCACTTGAGCACCGTGTTGCACCTTGCCTCAAGGTTCAGGCACTTCGAATTGGTGAAGGACATCATTGAGTTGCATCCTGAAATGGTTGAAACTGTGAACAAGAAGCTTGTCGAAAAGGTAGAGCAGATGCGTTAATGCTGCTCCTGGAGGCTAAGCCGTGGATAGCTGTTAAGCTTAACTATGAAAATGGAAGTGCATTTCTCATAGCCTGCAGACAGGGGCATCTTGATATGGTGAAGCTCATGATGAATCAGTCTTGGCTAATGGACTTTGAAGAAGATGGGATTGATCCAACTGCTCTACATGTTGCTGCATCAATGGGGCATTCATGCTTACTCTGGAATAACAGTTGGAGCTGATCAACTTGTTTTTCTGAACTCATTTGAGTGCGTTATGATGCAGAAATTGTTCAGAACATATTGGATGTGCGGCCAAATTTTGCTTGAAAGAGCAGCAAGAATGGATATTCTCCATTGCACTGTGCTTGTAGCGGAGGATACTTGGAGATAACAAGACTGTTTTTGAGGCTTGACCGAGACCTGGCTCCACAATACAATGACAAAGGTTACATCCCATTGCATTTGGAAGCCATACATGGCAAAGTTCCAATCCTTGTAGAATTCTTGTTAAGTTCTCCTACTTCCTTCCAGTACCTGACAAAAGAGGGAGAAACAGTGTGTCATCTTGCTGTAAAATTCAACCAATATGATGCACTTGTTTGTCTGGCAAATTTCTTCATATAATCTGATCCCCTCTAGATCCTCTCTAGAGGAAACTATCAAGTATTTAAGTGGAAATGTTTCAGGATTTCAGATAAAGAACAAAACATTTTGCATTCTAATTGATTTTAATTAATAACATGATGTCTTTATTTTGAAATGATTTCAGTTAGCCATGTAAATTGTGAATACAACAAAAGAGATTATAAACTGCTGCAATAATAGATGACATACGGTACTTGAAATTCTTGAACTGTATCCAGGTAATGCAGAAAGCAAGCAGTTAAAGAAAGCCGGAAAGGCCGCTGCTGGTAAAAGTACAGAGTTGTTGCCTCTCTTAGCAGGGGCACAAGAAACTAATTCACAACAGTAGACACTTGAAAACTCCAAAGATTTTCTTGAGAGCCTTCTTCAATATCTGATTGATATAGGCACGGTTGTGAGCTGCCCATAGACTTCAGACTCGGCTACCAGCCAGAGGCTGTGCTTACACCAAGCTCAAGCATGTCAGCAAAATCTAGGAAGGATTCAGGTGAGTGTGAAATAAAAGAAAAATATAGTAGTCATGACAGTAGCCAAATAAAACTACAGATCCAGAAGAAAAAAATGGATATGCTCACCACCCGGCCTTGACACAAGTGCATCAGCAAATCTTGTGGTTTCTTGCCCACACCAAACATGGAACTAATGTCAACAAAGGATTTACTTGAGGTTCCATCCTTTGAGAAACCAAAAATTCAAGATGAAAAGCCATTAGAACCAGTGTCTTTAACAGAAGCCAAGGATTTGTGCGATCTGAAAGAAATCAAGACCCTGAGTGATAAACACAGGAGAGAATTGAATCAGCTTTCTAAAAGTCGCAATAAAAAGAAAAAGCAATATGGGATATACAGAGAGGCTGTACAAAATGCCAGGAACACATTTATAATGGTGGCAATTTTGATTGCCACAGTTACTTCTACTGCAGGCACAAACCCTCCTGGTGGAGTCTTCCAAAAGGGGTCATTGAAAGGGAAATCTACAGTTGGCCGAACAACAGCTTTTAAGGTCTTTACAGTAAGCAACAACATTGCATTTTTCACATCTTTGTCTATTGTTGTTGTCTAGTCTAAGTCAGCATCATCCCCTTTCAAAGAAAACAAATGACGAAATATTGGTGAGTACTAACAAGGTCAAGTCAAGTGGTGGCTGTGTCATTCATGGCTATTGCTTACATTGCTGCAACAACGGTGATCATCTCACTCCAATATTTTGATTGAATAACTTCTCAATGAAAGCTCCTTTCCGTGTGCTTGGAATTTGCACCATTGCCTTCCTTAAATTCTCCGTGACCTTTCCAAGGAGGCTCGGCAGGACTTTGCTTGCAGATGGAGAGAGGACTTTGCAGGTGGTTCCTCTCTTCTTCAGCTGCTCACACTCCTGTTTTATCTCTTGTAGACCACAAAGCATAAATGCATGATTAATAGCATTAAAATTTGGAATGGTAAAGAGTATGGATAATATATCAAAGACTATATAAAATGCCATGGTCCAATATGTTAGCTGCATGGTTCCAGTGTTGTCCTTTGGAGAAGACGCCCAAAGAAATGAACTTACCTTGTAATAACATGATTGTAATTCTTCTTTTGCTTCCCATCCTTCTCATTCCGTAATGTGGAGAACTCAGACAGGTGAGACACGTGTAGAATGAGCAATTATTTCATCTGGCATATTGTATTTCCTTGATCCTTCACATGCACCAAAACAAAAATATGTACACCAACTTTCCTTAACAAAGAACAAAAAGTATTTTAATATCAATATAAGCATTAACACACCTCAATGAGTAATCAAAGGATTTTATATAGTGAATTTCGAGCAAATGAAGAAGCTACCTACATGATTGATCCCTCATAAAGAATACCCAAATTATGGATTTTTTTTTTTTTAATTACTGCTTTAGTCTAGTCTGAATCTATTTTTACATTGTGCTATCCTCTCGCTTGTGAGCCACAAAACAGTCAAAGCACTTGGAATAACAAATCTGTGCCGCCTCTGAAATGAATCTACCCCTGTAATTAATAATTCAAGCATTAAAAATGACATGATTTCTTATTTCAGGTGCCAACATATCAGATACATATTCAAACTTTGTGGCAGTATCAGCAAACTTGCATATAATTAATAATTAGAGATTAGAAATAATAACAAAGAGCATACATAAGTACTACCTGTGGCTTGTGCGTTGATGGTTATTGCTGCAGATTTTGACATATAAAATCGATTTGGATGTTAGGGATGTGAGAGATTTTGGGCCAGCCCGGTCCAATTTCCTTATTGTATCGTTCTTCTTGAATAGGAGATTCAGTTATCTCTAATTCCTTGAGTGTTGTCCTCCGGAGAAGGTAGTCTGGCAATATGCCACTAACTGTATAATCACCTTTTTCTTTGGCAATAACATCTAATTTTTATTTATTTCTGCTATCTTAACCACTATGTCATTACGTAAAACAACTTCCTTGAAGCCAAAGCAACATACCTTCTTCTTAGGATCAAGAGCCTCCAACCAAGCTTCTCAGCAAATCTTTAAGTTTCCTTTCATTAAACACAAGTTCTTTTTAGAAACATTGTCTGTAAATGGAAAAATATGAATAGTACAATGCCTATTATCAATAACATCTAGTATGAAATAGAAATGTAGATCTCATGTCAGCTCACCAAGTTGAACAAGACATCAATTGGGCATTTGCTTCATCAGATGCATTTTCTGTTAATTACAAGAGACGCTGTGAAGTTTGCGTGATTGGCCAATAGTATTAAAAGTAAATAAAAAAGAATAGAGAGAGGTAAACAATTATAACTAACCAATTTGTTTAGAAGCATTAGAAAGCAGAGGTAATTAAGAAAAAGGAAATAAACTCAAGGCTTCTTGAGGCAGTTTGCAACCATGATATAGCTGCTTTTGTGAATTTAGTTCAAGGCAACAAAGGAATTCTGGAACAAAGAACTGATTATCACCTGAACACGGTGTTGAAGCTGTCGTCCAGGTTCAGGCACAACCAATTGGTAAAGGATATCACTGAGCTTCATCCTGAAATGGTTGCAACTGTGAACAAGAAGCTTGAGACTCCATTGCATGAAGCTTATTGTTAAGGGAAAACTATTAAGCTTAACCATGATAACGGAAGTGCATTTTCATAGCTTGCAGAGAAAGGGTATCTTGATGTGGTGAAGCTCTTGATGAAGCAACCTGGCTAATGGAATTTTAAGAAGATGAGGATGATTTAACTGCTCTACATGTTGCCACATCAACGGGGCACACAGGTAACACAGAAATACATTGCACTGTGCTTGTAGCAGAGGATACTTGGAGATAACAAGATTGTTCTTGAGGGTTCACCAATACCTTACTCTGCAATACAATGAAAATGGTCACTCCACATTGCACTTTGCAGAAGTGATGCTAGAAATGATGATGAAAGCAAGCAGTTTAAGAAAGCCTTAAGAGCAGCTGCTGGTAAATTAAAGAAGCACAGAATTGGCAACTCTCTCACAGGGGTCACAGAAATACATTCTCAACTGCCGATGCTTGAAAACTCCAAAGGGTTGATATGGGCAACAGTGTGAACTGCCCTTAGACTTCCAACTTTGCAAGCAGCCAGGAATTGTGCCTACATCAAGCTCAAGTGTGTCAGCCAAATCTAGAAAAGTATCAGAAAAATATGACAGTCGTGACAGCACCCTAATGAAAAAACATATCCAGAAACAAAAACCGGATATGCTCACCACCTGGCCTCGACGCAAGCATATCAACAAATCTTGTGGTTTCTTGCCTACATCAAGCATGGAACCAATATGAAGAGAGGAGTTGCTTCAGCTTCCATCCTAAAGAAACCAGAAATTCAAGATGATAAGCAATTAGAACCAGTTACCTTGACAGAAGAAAAAGATTTGTGCAATCTGAAAAAATTCAGGACCTTGAGTGATAGACACAGAAGAGAACTGAGAAAACTTTTGAAAATTTTCCAAAAAAGCAAAGCTATATGAGATATACAGATTGCACTTTCAAATGCCCGGAACTCAATTATAATGGTGGCAATTTTGGTTGCCGCAGGCACAAACCCTTGGTTGAGTCCTGCAGGAGGGGCCATTGAAGGGTATCAACAGTGGCAGAACAACTTTTAAGGTCTTACAGTAAGCAACAACATTGCATTTTTCACACTTTATGCATTGCTGCTGTTCAGTCTGATAGCTTGTCATCTTTCTGCGTTCACATCTTACAGTAAGCAACAACATTGATTACTCACAGGCTCTTGTGGATGGCCTTTTCCTTTATAGCTATTGCTTACGTTGCCGTGACATGGGAAACCATGCCACCTTGTGGTTCTACAGGCTCTCAGTGCTGGGACTATTGTAACCATTTTCGTGTATTTGGACTTCTTCTGTAAGCCTAATCACTTCTCCTCGGTTGTATATTTGTTTTGGGGTTAAAAGTATAAAAAGTAATAGTTGCACTTAAAAAGTAAATCAATAATTTATGAAAAGTTATGCTATATATTTCTCCTAAGCTATGCTCACATTCTGCTCTTCTCCGTTGTAGACCACAATGCATTAAATCCTGATTACTAGCACTGAAATCAGGAGTGATAGAAGTATGGATAAATCAAAGACTCATTACCTGCTTGGTTTCAGTGTTATCCTCTGGAAAAAGGCGCCCTGACAATGTCTTTAACTTGGGACAGCATCCAATTGCAGACGAATTAAGTCATAACATTACTATAGTTCTTCATTTTCTTCCCTCATCCTTTGGATCTGGTAATTGGAGATATGAAGAAAAAATACAGATGAGACAAGCTTTCCAAAGATTTCATCCCAAAAAATAAAGATAAAAATTGACCTTACCAACCTGAAGTCAGACAGGTAAGAAAAGCGAAAACAGTACTTCTTTAATCAGGTATATTGTATGACGTTGATTCTTTAAGAAATGTTTAATGACATCATGTTAAAGTTGCTTCTCTGCACCCAAAAAAAAAAAAAAAAAAAAGAAAAAGAAAAAAGGGACAAAAAGGAAACAAAGAGTAATTTAATATCCATATAAGCATAAGCAAACCTCAAAGAGCCATCAAGCTGCATGATCAATCCAAAGGTAGGACTAACAAAAGTACAGAAAAATGCACCTTTTGTAACTGCTTTTGACTAGCCTTAAACTGCGTACTTTCTTTTCTCCACCTAAGACAAAATTAAGGATGTTATTCTGGGGTGACTATTAAACTTCACAAAGAAACAGAGAGCTGGTCACCTTGTGCTACTGCTATCCTCTGTCTTGTAAGCAATGATCCAAGACTCATAAATTTGTACCTCTGAAATGAATCAACCCCTGTTACATTGATTGAGTATTAATTAAAGCATTTTAAGTAAATTTCGTAGCAGAAATAACAGTACCCAGTAACCTTAACATTTACAATAAGTAATTTGTTAAAAATGATAATAAGATGGAGTGATAGAATATTAAAGAAGAAATTGACAAGATAAGTTTTGTAGTGTTTGTCCAGACAATAATATAACAATAATTTGATTAAAAAAAAGTAACGTAGTTCGTAGATTCGAAGTAATAACAAGGAGTATACATAAGTTATTACCTGTGGCTAGCGGGTTGATGTTTATTGCTGCCGTTTGACCCATTCATCGATTTTGATATTAGGGATGTGAGAGATCTTGTGCCAGTCCTCTCCTGTACCCTCTTTGTATCGTTCACGTAGAATATCACACCCAGAAATGTTCAATTCTTTGAGTGCTGTTCTCTGGAGAAGGCTGTCTGGAAGTGCCTTTAATTTGGGGCAGTTGTAAATATCCAAGGTAGCAAGACAAGGCATGAATGTAATATGTTCCTTATCTACTCCCTTCTTTGCATTGTCGTTGTCCCACTCTCCCCATTCTTTCATATCCCAAAATTTAAGTTCTTCCAATTTGGGGAAGAAATAAGTTGATGAAGATGACGAACAGATTCCACTTTCCATTCCCCAAAACACATTATCCACTTTTTTCACATCTTCCATAAAAAAAAATGTAAGTCTTTCGAGGGATGGCAGTTTCCCCAATGGATGCAAATTCTTACAATTGGAAACATGCCAAAGATGTAAAGACTTCAGCTTGGTTAATGACGTGATCCAAGTGGAAGGAAAAGTGTTGCCTCGGTAGTATTCTATCTGCAGCATCTCTAATTTTGGAGGTGGTAGTAAGGCTTCGAGGACTAATTCATAATCTTCACATGATACCCCTCCTCCAGGAGTTATCTCCACCCAAACCGTCGGCCCCTTTTTCCTCTTATAAAACTGCAGATTCAGACGAGTGAGGTTTTCCTTATTCGCGAGTACTTGGTTAATTTTACCATCACTCGCAAATTTCACAAATCCCAACCCTCTTATTGTAAGGCTCCCTTCAAGATTATTCAAAAATTTCAATCCTTCGAGACTACATGCTTTGCTGTCATTATCACCTTCACTACTTATAACGAATTCGCTCAATGTTTGAAGACCAGTTAATTTAGCAATCCCTTTCGGAATGTAAAGTAGTCCGTGACTCCAAACATTTCTTAATCGCCTCAAATTTACTAATTTGTCTATCCCTTGAGGTAATTCAACTATACTACGACAATCATTAATGTCTAAAGTGTGCAAATTATATAATTCACACAAACTTTCTGGTAACTTTACCATAAATTGCCCATGCAGATTGAGATATCTTAAATGAATTAATTTTTTTATTTCTTTTGGAATCTCTTCAACAACTTTAAATCCATGGAACATCAATGATCTTAAACATGTCAATTCACATAATTTCTGTAAAACATCACTGGACAATGCATTGCCATCATGAAACATGATGAGACTACGTAGACTTTTGATACTACAAATTGACATGGGAAATAGAACTCCTTTATTAACCTTCAAAAATAAATGACGAACATTTTTGTTAGAAGAGTTTATAAACGGATTATTATCACCAATATTGACTTCTATAGCAAGACACTCACCATTACTCAAAAATAGAGCAAAGTCATGCACTATATCATGCATCTTACAGTTCCATATAAAATCTTTAAAATTTGAAAATTCTTGGAAGAAAGATCGTGTTGCCAAGTGGTGAAAATACTCTTCACCTATTGTCTCTAACTTTGTATCTTTTTCTAACCCCAAATAACCTTGTGCCATCCATAATCTAATTAAATCATCTTTTATTATATCGTGATCTTTTGGAAAGATAGCACAATAAAAGAAACATTTTCTTATCGAGGATGGCAAATCGTTATAACTCAACATCAAAGGGGATAGAAGACCATTTTCAATCTCCTCTAATTTCCACATCTCACTATGTAAAATACGTTGCCATTCATCTCTACTCCTCTTAAACTGCAAAAGACTCCCGATGGTTTTTGTAGCAAGAGGTAACCCCTTGCACTTCTTAACGATTTCTCTACCAATTTCTTCTAATTTTTCACACTCATGAGTAGGTCTTTCAAGAAGAGCTAGCCTCCTAAATAGTTCCCAATTCTCTTCATAGGACAATTCTTCAACGTTGATAATATCAATTGACTTCATAATACGTGCAACTGACTCTTTACGTGTGGTAATTAAAATTTTACTTCCATGGAGATCGTTCTTCAAACAGTGATAGAACGGTTCCCATTTATTGTAATCTTCATTCCACACATCATCTAAAATAAGAAGAAATTTATTACCCACAATAGAGTCATGAATACGTTGAAGGAGATTTTGTAGATCTCCTTCGATAGGAGTATTAGAACTTTCTAGAGATCGAATGATCGCTCTAGCGATCCTAGACTCATCAAAAGGATTTGATACACACACCCACATTATTGCATTAAAATGGCTCTTCACTTCATTATTATTGTAGGCATACTGAGCGAGAGTTGTTTTTCCAATTCCTCCCATCCCTACAAGTGAGATGATTTGGAGGCGTTGTTCACTACTCTCACACAATAACTTGCGTACTAAATTATTCTTTTCATAATCTCTACCACATATATCAGATACATCAATAAAAGAAGTAGTTTGCATTGACTGATAATCAGGTCTCTCATTAGCTGGAAGGACATTAAGATTATAACGATCTTTTTCTTTGTCAATAGCATCTAGCTCTTTATTTATCTCTGTTATCTTAACCGCAATGTCACGACGTAAAACAACTTCTTTAGAGCCAAAGCAAGGAGAGGGAAAAAAGCAACATACCTTCTTCTTAGGAGCAAGAGCATTATGAGCATAACCTCCCTCAATTTTCAGTTTCATGATTTCAGTGTTCCACTCATCCAACACATCTTCCACGTCATAACATGCGTCTTTGAGCCGATTCAACCAAACTCTCACAGCTTTATTCTTCATTTGTTTTTGGTCAGCATCAAGTAGCACAGCTTGAATGGCTTGAAGATTGTTCTTAAGCTTTTCTACTTCTTCGTCAACATCTCCCACTAGCCTCACCTGTTTTGCTATGAAGCTAGCAGTTGGAAGTAGAATTGAATCCAGCAGCTCCAAGGAAACCGAAACAATTGCTTCAGCCATATTCACTATTCAGATATGATCAATAATATGAAAGAGAAGAAATGGAGATATTTGTTTCGTATGCCTTTGTGTTATGATAGTGAATGCTGCCATCCATACATATATTATCCTAAACTTTATTGCAGATTGCAGAAGTCAACCAACCGCGTTTAATATTGAAATGTATTTTTCAATTTTTTTTTTTTTTTTTCCAATATGTGTGAAAGTAACGTGACTGTTATCATTAATTTTGGAATTTTTTTTAAACCCCCCGAGATTTGCCGAAAACCATAAATCCCCTCAGGTACTAGTAATTACGTTCAACTCTTTGCCGTCAAATAGTTAGCTTTAACATGATAAAGGGTAAAAGATAAAGTTTTATATTTATTAAGTTTTAATACTATTGCACCCCGAAGCTCGCAAACTAAAACTTTGACATCAAAACCCCCAGAAATTACCACATAAACCCCCTGCCATAAGTTTATTCTTGGTAACCATGAGAGTTGATTAATTTTGACCAAACACGGTTATTTATTTACACTAATTATATTTTAAACTTGACTATTTTACCCTCAAATTGATTATCAACTCATTTTTAAATTTAAAGAAAAAGTAAAATAACAATTTTCTTTTTTAAATTCTTAAATAATACAAACCCTTAACCTAAAATTACAAATATTTAAATAATAAAAGGAAATTTAAAATACTTTTAAGAATTTAGAAAAATTAAGAATACTTAAAAAAAAAAAAATACTAAAAACAACTAAAAAAAAAAGCCAAAATCTAAACAATATTTGTGCAACTGCCAACTTATCAGTCGTGTTTTTTTTTTTTTTTTTTTAGATTTTTTTAATTTTTTTTAACTTTCTAAAGTTTTGCAATATATATATTTTTTTATTTAGATATTTCAATTTTTCCAAATTTTTTATTTTTAACTTTTTCAAATTTTTTAGTTTCAATTTTTTTTTAAATATAACAATTTGTAATATTTATATAATTTATTAATTTTATATATTATGTCTAACATGTAGGGGAGGGGGCTGGGCTGTGTTAGTCTATCATAAAATTACATAATTATCAACAATTCATGAAAAAATAAAAAACTTCTAAACCTAACCCACTCATGACTCACCCACATCGCGGCTCCTCTCTCCCTCCATATCCCACAATCTCCCTCTTTATCACCCATAGTCACCGCCCCTCTCTCCCTCTCTAACCCATTGTCGCCACTTGTATCAAACCCCATACCCCACAACTGCTAGTCCTCTCTCCCTCCCAACCTGGATGTCATTGGCCCGGCCGTCTCAAAATCTCCCAAACTTATAAGTTAAAAGTAAATATTTAAATTAGTCAACTTACAAAACTCTCTTTTTAATCGTACCTAAAATTTAAATTATACATAAACAATTTATAATTTTTCTTATAGAAAACCCAACAAAGATAAATTAAAAAAAAAAAAAAAAAAAGACAAATTAAACCACTTAAAAAAACTATTTCCAAGTAATTGTACATGAAATTTCAAATTATTCAATAGATTTAACTTTCAAATAACGGCCATAAGAACAATACATACATGCAATTCGTTGTATTGTACTCTTGTTGAAATAATGCAAGGGGAGTTCTCTTAGAAAAGCAAGTAGAATCCTACAAAATTCAAACTGTGAAATTCTATGTAAGTATTGGCTTGATAAAATGCGAAAAGAGTGAGGGAATTCGGCTAGGCCGAGGGTTTTTTTTTTTGGGGGGGAGGGGGGGGGGGGGGGGGGGGGTGGGGGGGGGGGTGTGGAAGACTTGTTTT